GTGTTTCACCTGGACATGTCAAAAAGAGGCTTCGAAGATAGTGGAGATAATCAGCATGCGAACATGAGCATCATTAGAAATCCAAATCGGGTCATTAGGGTTAGCTTGTGGATCGGTGGTAGCCTTTGGATCGGAGGTGGTTGTGGTTGATGGTAGATGGTAGATGTTTGGATGGACACTGCATTGATCCATCTATATATCCGAATAGTTTATTTGTGACAAGAAAGGGTTGAATCATTGTTTTCCAATAACCATAGTTTGTAGGAGTTAGGGTAAAAGCAAACTTGTGTGAATTGTGAGATTGTTTCTCCGTTGTTGTGAAAGAGGCTATTAGAGCCATGATGTAGTAATGTACTGTCAAAGAATAAAAGACTGAAAATTAGGGCTCCAGGGCGACGGCGGCAACGGCAGACAGCAGACGGCAGATTCAAAAAGTAGGGTTCTGGCGACAGCGGGCAACAGATTCCAGCAGTGGCGGCGGCGGCAGCGAATGATTCCAGCGATGGTGGCGGCAGCGAACAGTCAGATTAACAGAGGCCGCGGCAGTAGCAAACGATCAGCCTTGTAGTGGCGTGACCAAGAGGGCAGGTAGGGTTTTGGTAACTTGGCTCGAATACCAAAATAAACCACAAGGATTTTGTGTATTGATTTGATATGTAACCTAATTACAATCGGTGTCTATATATACAGATACTAATTACTTTGCCCTCTACATTATACTAATTGCACTTAAGTACATTTAGTCTAATACTAGTTAGTCATTGTTGTCGATGCGATAAAACACAGACAAGTTGGTATCGTTGAGGTAAGTAAGGCACAGCAGCTACTGCACAAGGTACAACAATAATTGCAACAGGTTGAATAATGCTTTTAAAGCAGGGGGTAAAAAAATAGGGTTAATGGGTTAAAGGGAAAAGAGTGATGGAGAGAGAGAGAGAGAGAGAGAAGACTGTTGATGAAGAACGAAACGATGCAGAGAGAGAGAGAGAGAGGAGTTGCTGTGAAGAACATTCCAAGGAAGAACGAGGCTGATGCCATGTAAAAGGCTGTATCCTTGCCCTCTCCATTGAATTCCTTACAAATAAATAGTCGATTACAAAAGTTTACAAAGGGAACCTACCACATACAATAAAGAAAATAAATCAAATCAAACCTAAAAATATTATTTACATACCTTGAAAGAGAACAAAACAAACGAAAAAACGGATCTATACACCTAATAAATAAGTAACTTTGGGGACACGTGTCATGTTTTTGTGTGACGGTTATTGATTTTTCCCGCCTAAACATGTATCTAGAGACAATTTTCACTTACGGTTCAAATAGGTCTATTTAAGTGACATTTGTCCCTCTACACGTTTATTTTCCTGTTTTCATGGTTTAACTGATTTCCCAGACTAATTAGAAATCTCTAATATGTTTTCTATAGTTTCTAAATCTGGAGGCTTCTTTTCCAAACTTAGAAGTTTGAATGTTGAACATGTATGTAGACACAATTTACATTACTGGTTCAAATGGGCCTATTTAATTGACATCTGTCCCTGTAAACATAACTGATTTCCGTATGAAAAGGGATTTCTTTTCAAATACTTAAATAAGCAAAAGTCTGGATTTCCATTCCTCAAACTTATAAGTCTGAACTCCTTTTCCTCAGTTAAAATTCAGTGTTGTATGCCAGACTTATAAGGCATACCAGTATAAAAGTCTAAGGACATGTGTGAACTCCTTTTCCTCAGTTAAAATTCAGAGTTGTCTTCCAGACTTGTAAGACATACCAGTATAAAAGTCTGGGGACAAGTCTGAACTCCTTTTTCTCAATTAAAATTCAGAGTTGTCTTCCAGACTTGTAAGACGTACAAGTATGAAAGTCAGGGAAAATCAGAGTTATAAGTCTGAATTTAACTCTGAAGTGGCCTCCAGACTTACGACATAAGTCTAGGGAAATTCAAAGTTGTAAGTCTGAATTTAACTCTGGAGTGGTCATCAAAACCGGGTTTAAAATTTCAAATTCGGATTTTTGAAGCATTTAAAATTTAAGCTCGACCCAGCCAGGGGCTCTGCCCTTTGGACACCGCCAAGGGCTGCCACCCCTTAGACCCCGCCACCGGGGGCACTGCCCCCGGACTCCCATCGTTTAGGGGCGAATCAAAATAAACTCAAACAAGTGTGCACTCCGCACCTTCCTTACTTGTTCGATATTTATCATGATTACATTGGTCAACAAATTAATCCCATTACACTTAAATGACATTAGAGATACAAATCACCAACACGAAGTCATCAGATATTGGTTATTTCTCAGACTTACAACATAACTCTGAATTATCTGTTCCAAACTTAGTTCTATAGTTTATTCCTAGACTTAGAATACAACTCTGAACTCCTCTTCAGAGTTGAAGTTCAGAGTTACGTTTCTGAGTTATAAGAAGTCAAAATTCTTGTGACTCAGAGTTATGCTCATAGATACTTTCTAGACTTAGAAGACAACTCTGAATTCCTCTTATTCAGAGTTAAGTCCAAAGTTATTTTCCAGCCTAACAATAGAACTCTGAATTCATATGTTTCGGAGTTAATGTCCAGAGATTTCCTCATTTAAAATACCACGTGTAATACACTGGGTCAAACCTAGTGAAAAAATATATCAAAATGGATGTCAAATTAAATATAATAAAGTGATTGCTTTTTTGGTGTAATTTGTTTTACTCCAATTTTCTTTTTGTATTTCGCTGATTTTCGATTTAAAAATTAAGAAAAAATATTTGTATTTTTTAAAGAAGGTGGTTATAACCACCTTTTTAATCACATATGCTGAATCATCTCAATCCAATGGTTTGGATGGGTTCTTCAGTTCTTCCTTTTTCTCAAGGTTCTCTCCCGATCTCATCCCTATGCTATGCATATATATAGGGGTTAAATCAAATGAGGACCACAAAAATATTGGGAACACGTGAGGACCGATCTAAGCCTCAATTTGGTTTTCATCCTATGGTTTTAATTGAAAACTACTTTTAGTTAAAAAGAGGCATAATCGTCATTTTGGTAACAAGATTCACTAGATGAAACACACAAATTCATTCACTAGATGAAACACAAATTCACTAGATGAAACACAAACTCACCATGCTATTTCACCTCATGAAATTAAACACAATTTCATAAATATGCTAAACACCTCATGAAATCAAACACAATTTTTATAATTTCCGAAAAATCTTTCTTGAAACACACAGAGATTCATCCGATGAAACACGTCACCATTCTTTTGGGTTTCATCTGGTGAATCACATAAGTTCCTAAATCTAAATCTTTATTCTCTAATAATCCAATCCCTATCTATCTCATCTTGTTTCCAATTCATTCCAGTTTCATTCCTTTTTCATCCTTATGTATAATATCTAAAACAATCAGATCAAAAATTTACGAATTTTAGATGGGCTATTTATCTTGTAAAGCTGAATCCACATCGATGTTAATAATCCATCCAAGAAATCTGATAAAAATCCATGGAAATAAAGATTTGGGATTACCCATCAACAAGAAAATTCAACACTTTGACTACAGTGATTTGGAAGCCACCACCAATAATTTCTCTTACTAGAAACTCCTCGGTCAGGGAAGCCATTGATTAGTCTACAAAGCACTCCTCCGCAACGGCCGTCTTGTTGTGTCAAAAAACCCTCACCAAAACAACCACCATTCCACTATCTCCGCTATGCCAGAGAATGAAGTTGAAAACGAAATCGACATACTATCCGAACTCCACAGTCCTCATCACGTCTCCAACCGGCGGTGCTGAACGATCACGTAGTCGAATGTCTTCCGGCAGAAGTTGGGTTGCGTTAACGACAAACGCCATGTATGTCGGACCTGATATACCAGTCGTGGACTGCACCGACCATACGTTGTGCCATATCCCAGCGAAGGGTGATGGAAGAGAAGATGTTGACGGCAATGTAGAAAAGGCATATGCCAGAGAGAACCGTGACGGAGCCGGTTAAACCGGCAGTGAATCTAGCGAATCAGCTGGAAAAAACAGCTGAAAAAATTGTCTCAAAGGAGGAGCAGATCCAATCGAAGTATATGAGAAAGAGGACAGAAGACGCTAAGAAGATTGATGGATTAGGAGAAGCACCGGTGTTTGCCAATCATCAATGTCGTAGATTGCGTAGATCTGAGTCCAATCCCCAACTCCCTCCGCCATAACCACCACAGGAGCTTCATTTGAACCCCTAGATGAGAACCTGTTCTCGGATCTAGCCCTCATCCAACCCCAATATCAAGATGACGTCTTCTTAGTGAAATTGATTCAAAATTACAAGTTTATCTTGAACATTTAAGTTAAATGTGAGATTAAACCTCACTTTCACAAATATTACAAAAATACCATTGTTTTTTATGGCCTTAGATTAAAATCATTAGGTGATTAGATCAGTCCTCACGGTCCTCAACCTTTTTTGGTCCTCGTCTAATTACCGTTCCTATATATGTTAAAGAGAATTTGTGGAATGTCACAACATGAATATTACTTCGGATTGAGTTCTCTCACAACCCCCCCCCCCCAAAAAAAAGTGATGTTTTGGGGATATAGATTCCAGAAACACTATTCACCACATAGGATTCAATAGAAGAATACTTTATAACCCATATGCATGTATATATGTTCTAGATCTATGTAATAATGAGCATTTGGAGAATGTCAAAACATGAATATTTCTTTTGGATAGAGTTCTCACACAACCACCCCCATCCTCAAGAAAGGAATGTTGTTATAGGGAAATAGATTCCACATGCATTATTTAAGTTGTGGGATTAAAAAAAAAAGCATCTATGGAAACCTGTAAGATGAACTTTGCTTGTAGAAGCCATCCCCCGACACAAAAGCCGTGTGAAGGTCCACCCAGTCAATTTCATGTCTTGTGCGCGGAGACGACTTCCACAAGCACTATGCATTGTGTGTGATGGCAAAAAAGTACATTCTCATAAAAACCATTATATATTACCTGTCATCACCGTCTTCCCACACATGGTTATGCTCCTGTTAATAAAATATGGAAAGATGCTTAGACAAGAAATGATGGCTATTTACCAAAGTAAGACAAGACAGATATAAGGGAAACAAATGATAAGGCTTAGCAAGCAGAATATAGAGGTAGGCAACATCAAAAAGTGTCAGCAACATCTCGGGTCCTAACACAATTGTAACTTGAAATTGACTTATATATCTATGGACATTTACCAAATTACCAAACTGAAAGCGCAAAAAACTAGAAAATTGGCCACAATTAACCACAAAAAAGAAAAGGTAAAGAACTGATTGTCTCGAGAGCCTCTATGGGATGCCAACTCTCTTGGAAATATTCATCCCAAGTTTGGCCGAATAATTTTCCATTGCAATTATGTTTAGATGAAAGAAGCAAATTTATTACACTTCATGTCGTCGATAAAGTTGAATTGGATTTATGGAGAACCATAAAAATCATTTATTTCATGTGTTTCTCTTCTCTGAGTCTCTACAACAGAAAAGACATGATGTGAAAGAAGGCACATTGCACTAACAGTCATTTTGCCGACGCCCTATGCTACTAGCACTCACCTCACTACCAGCATGTTACAATCAGCTAGAAATCCCATCGCAACCACTGCCGCAACATACCCCTAGCCATGAAGTTATAAATTCTGTCTTTAATTGAAGTTGGTGGGAGTCCAAGTACATGTGTAGCTCTTATGTATATGCACTAAATATTCAACGGCACCAAACAGATTGAGGAGGTGAAAGGGGAGGATGGTGTTAGAAAGGATGAAGATGGAAGATGCAGTCATAAAAGATTTTGGTAGAGTTGATTGCAAGCTCTGAAGGAGGTGGAGGTAGAGATGTTTGGAAGTTGAGTTTCTTGCCATTTTTCACTATAAATGAACAAAAGAAGCCTATGCACTTCATTATGCACAACATTTTGATTTAGAACATAACAAAACTGTTTGGAAGTGAAAAGAGTTCATCTAAAATCCAAGTCAAAAGTTTAAAGCCTTCTTTAGTTTTCTTCCTGGATGACACAGTAATTCTAATCAAGTTGAAGTGCCATCTAGGATCTCGATCGTTCGATCACTAATTTTGGTTTTCTGGTCAATTAAGTATAGTAATAGCACCCAATTGGTTTAGCTTTTCATCAGTTGGTCAAATTGGCAGAAGTGGTTTCTGACTTTGTTAATTTGGTAATTTTCCAAAAGAGTTAGTTGCATAGAAAGGCATTCTACTTTGTTCCAGTTTCTATCTTGGTAATTTACTGTGAAAATATACATAAAAACCTTTGTAGTTTCAAAACCTACTATTTCAGTCAACTTTTAACTGGTTGCGTAGTTACCATTCTGATTTAAAAATCATTGATTTTCTTAACTGAAACCGCGGCAACCTATTAAATGAAAAGTCTTTACCAATAAACAAAAACAAATAAAAACCTTCTCTCTCTCTCTCTCTTCGTCATCTTCTTTTCATCTAAGTTTGAGATATCAAAAAACCCCCACCATCTCACTCATCAATCATACCACCAACTCTCCTCAAATCCCAACCCCATATCAACTCCTGTAGCCTTTCTCATAAGCTCCTTCCTCCACTGCCACCACCAAAGCACCACCCCACCCACTGTCAGTTCCGCCTCCAGCTACCGTCAGTCCCACAACAATTGGAGCCCACAGAAATTTTTGTTCAAGGATGATGTGAGTCATCCAAGCAAACATGATGCATATCTATTGCGAGAAGCCGCTTTGTAGACTCACTCCTACCCTGCAACTAAATATACTGCTATATCCTCCTCTTATCTGTCCACGAGGCTGTAAAAGAAGAGAAGGGGTGGCTATCTAGCGGGAGTCATTTCGGTTGTATGCCATGAGATCCCTATATTTCACTTCATTATTGATGAACTGGGATTCGATTTGTGTGTTGCCTTAGGAAGTGTAGTTTAGCTACTCCCAGTACTTATGTTTTCTGTTGTTCTCCAGGGGATTTTATTTTCTCAGTATGATAAGGTCCTTCTACCTGTATTATGTGTGCTTTGTCTTACCTTCCACTTCTGGGTTTTTGGTATGCATCTTTAACTGGTAATTGGTTTCTATTGAAAACAAAACTTAAAAGAGTGAGGTGTCAACTTTTGATGAGTTGACAAGGAATAAGGATATGGTAGATGTGGTGAAATAAGTCAAAACTACTTAACCCCACCTCATTTTAGTACATGTACCACATCAGCATAATGCATGTCAACACGTAAAAAGTTAGCAGGAATATTATTTCCAAAACTAGAATGTCTGTTATATGGTTTCAATGTATTGTGAATAGAATAGAAATTTGACAAACGTACAATGCCTTTCTAAGCAGTTAACCCTTCCCCAAATTCACTGCTCAACTAAATGGAAAATAGTAAGAGATTAGTACAGAAGAACAAATCATATAATATTAGGCTGGCCACTACATTTCTGTCTCCCATTCATTAATTTAAATAGAGTAAAAAGGGAAAATCTATGTCTTGAGATTTATTAATATAAAAATGGAGAACAACCTAATGTGGGACTCCCACCAACAAGCATATCCTCCCAACCTACCTAGAACAGGCCCTAGAGTCGGGCAGTAGTGCACTACAAATCAAAATTGCTAATCATGGCCTTACCACATAACACATAAGGATAAGGGACAGGGACAGGGACAGGGACAGGGATTGGCATACACTGCGGTCAACAAAGATTAATCTCTTACTAGCGACTTATATCTAAAAACTTTTAGGTCCATTTAGGAAGCCATATGAATATTACATAATGGCATCAAGCAAACGAAATGAAGGGATCAATCATCACCATATGCAAAAGCCATATGTAGGAGCTAATTACATGTGATAGTCCTGTGCAGTATTAGTTAAGGATACTATTTCATATACAGTTCCCTTTTCAATCTTTATTTTATCTGTGTTGGCAAACATTATGTGTGGGCAGACTGAGTAGCAGGTTTTTAGCGCATTATCGAAATCATGAAGCATTATTTTATGGGCTTGCATTTGAAGCAATTGACATCTTGAAACGATGTTTACCTGGAAACCCTGAGACTTTGCACCAAGAAAAATAGAACAGTTAGGAGCCCCACAGAGACAACGCACATTGACACCACCATACCATTCAAAATTGTAGTCATATGCCAATTCAGTTCCAATAGATATGTCTTGGGTTGCAAAAATACCAACCCTTGTTTCCCCCAAAACTGTCCACTTCCTTGTCTCACAGTTCGGTTGGCTGCAAAAAACAAAAAGACAATTAACCCCGAAGTAGACGTGAGAACAATTCAAGGATTCAATTTGTATATTTGTTCATCTATAGCTAATAATCTTTAGTTCTAAGTTCTAACAATGTATCTTACCAGGAATGGTTTATAAATCTAGCAAGACTTCCTTTTTTGGTGGCATCAATAAAGTAACTGGCGTTCAGAGATATTATATACGCATCCCTTAAACCTGCATCCCATGCAAAAGGGAGGTTAGTCCACATTAGTACTATATTGATAGGTTCCTACCACCCACACACCACTCCAAATGCATCCACACATTCTACCTTGAGCTTCATAAGTTTGAGATCTTTCCTTTGCTTCATCTGAAGAAATTACTTCTCCACAATATTCAATAATGAACTGTCCAGCCTTACCATAACAAAAGGAGAAAATGTCAACATGTGAAACATCAATATTTGAGCAATCCATATGCTATATGATAAAATATTAATCTATCACTTGGATAATTTTCAGAAAGTAGCAACTCCTTGAAGTTACAAAATTCGATCGTCTTACATATGCTTTATATAGAGCAAGCTGAAACAGCTGTTGCTACTTCAATAAGGATAAAAATACCATCATGACTATAAAGTGTGAGGCATTTGATAACTTGAATTATATAAACTTAACCACCAGCATAGACGGGTTACCTTGATATTTTGGTCAGCTAAAAGACCCCATCCACGGCCCTCAGTCTTGAATAATTTTGTCTTTGCATATTCAGATTTTTGAAACCTCTGAAAATGGTGAAAAGTTGATATATTACAAAATGCAGTCGCTTTGGAGCATGCAAGAACATGAAATACATTTGTAAGCATCGCTTTGAATCAGTTTTATACGAAGCTATGAAAAAAATAAGAAACAATGAAACAGAAATAATTACTCGTGCAGGTCAAAATTTCAAGATTGAGATTGAAGCTGACAACAGAAGCATTTATTTCTGAAGAGTAGTACAAACTTTAACGTGTATTTTAAATTTTTATCTGAGGTACTATGAAGAAAGTTCCTAAATCGTTGTGTAATATTGTCCAGAATGTAATCTTTTTCATTGTCTCTGTCCATTTTCGTAAAAAGAGGGCACATGTAGTTGGTATGGAGCAGATACCTTTAGATTTATGTGATATGTCTACATTTAATTTTGGTATAAATTCTAGCACTGAATACTCAGCATTTTGATACGAGTCCACCTACGAAGACACTGTAAAAGAAATAAAATAATAGATAAGCATGGAAAAAGTCCTCCATAAATCTACGGTTACCTACAGCTGTCCTTATCTATCTACACCTGGTTACTTCCCTTATTTGACTTTTCCTTTTTGGTTTTGTTTTAGGAGCCTGTCTTTGTTTTCTTCTAGGGGTCTCCTACCTTTTAGTTTAAATACTGTAGTTGTTTTCTTCTTTCGATAGAAAAATTTTAATTTGAGTTATTTTTTGGAGCCTTGTCCTCTCCATACGGACTACCTCTCATATTTCCATTACCCAAGTTGTAGCTCTTAACAATTTGGTATCAGAGCCTTGTCATTGTTCAGGGTCACTGTTCATCGCCCCTGTTCACCATCAATGTTCATCGTCCATGTTCACCGTCACGGTTCATTTCATCGCGTTCGTCGTTGAAAATACTACTTATCCGTGAGGTTTAGCACTCGTTCCACTTCCTCCACCGACAACTTGCCACCCCACTATGCCACAGCCACCTCCGGAAACAAACCCCAATCTGACAACCCTTCCAATGAAGAGATCCTCCAACAGTTAGCCCTACTTACTTCCAGATTGGCTGCCATGGATGCAACTATAAAGTCTCAATCCAAAGGGAAGGACACTATAGATGATAAGGAACCTCCAGAAAATACGAGACCCCCGAGGGACGATGAACGTAATGTTAAAGAACCTTTGTGGATAAAAATAACTCTCAGCGCAGACACCATACCGAGATGAATTTTCCTCGTTTTGATGAAGGAGATCCTCACGGTTGGATTTTGAAGGCCGAAAATTTTTTATGGTATTACCAGACACCCGATGAACTGAAAAGTTGATGTTGCTGCCATATATTTGGAAGGTGATGTTCCTGACCTCTTTGGTTGCATAAATAATGAACAAACCCTCTTATATCGGGAAGAATTTCAAAGCATTGCAGGAAACTTATGAGACAACGAAATTTCAAAATCCTGATTAGCACCTCTGTGGCATCAAACAAACAGGAATAAAACAAGAACACCGCCAGGAGTTTGCCAAACATTCAGCTAGAGTAAAGAACTGACCAATTGACCAAAACATTGCCTATTGGGTGTGTTCCACAATGGGTTAAGAGACGACCTCAAGGCATGTACGCATTCAGAAGCCTCGTTTTGTTTACAAAGCTATAAGTTTAGCTCCAGAATACGAGAAGAAAATGGGCCAGTCTCAGAGAAATAACTCATTCAAATCCAACCAACAACGAACAACTGTATCAAGCGCACAACCAACTAATCTCACACTCGCACCCAGAAACATTGCAAGAAACCAAAACCCCAGTCGCGAGGACTTTGCTTTCTATGCAATGGTTGCTCCTGAAAATAGCTGCAAAACAACCTCTCTGACACTTATGGAGAAGGAAGAAGTCGACAAGATGGAAGAAAAAGTCGTGGAAGAGGATGATATTGTTGTTGCCAACCTTGATGAGATTTCTTTCATGCCATTTTAGGGGAATCCTCTTGCGCCACTATGAAGCTACAAGGAACCCTTAACTAGTAGAGGAACTACAGTTGCAGGCCCAACTGGCCTTTGGAGTTCAAATAGGTAATGGGCAGGTCATCACTTACAATCGACTCTGCCCTGATCTTGTCGTTCAGTTGCCGGGTCTCACAATTACTTACTACCCTTTTTCCATTGGGGTGTAGATTTGGTACTAGGCATCAAGTGGTTAGCTTCCTAGAACATGGTGCAAGCTAACCGGAAGGAACTATTCTTGATTTTTAATATAAACAGCAAAGGCTATAAGCTTCAAGGGATCCCACCAAAACAACCTTCCTATACATGTCAAAAGATTTAACCAGCTCAGAGAATACCAGCATTGTAGAAATTCAAAGGTTAATATCTAGTTTTGAATTCATCTTTGCTAATCCTGTCACCCTACCCCCTTTCCGTGAGCACACCCATACTATTCCCCTACTTCCTAACTCTAAACCTCCAAATGTCCGTCCATATTGCCACCCCCATTCCCAAAATTAAAAAATTGAGAAACAAGTTTCTGAACTACTCGATGTGGGATTTATCCGTTAAGTACCAGCCCGTTTGGGAGTCCTATTTTTCTTGTTAAAAAGAAAGAAAACGCATGGCGTATGTGTGTTCATTATAGACGCCTTAACCAAATCACCATACCCGAGCAATACCCCATAACCAATGTGGATGAGTTGCTGAATGAATCACACTGAGCCTCAACCTTCTCAAAATTTGATTTGCATTCTAGTTACCATCATACTCATGTCCACCCTAATGATATCCATAAAACAACATTCCGCACCCACTCTGGCCATTATGAGTTTAAGGTGATGCCCTTTGGCCTTGCTAACGCCCCTCAACCTTCCAAGCTGCCATGAATGATCTACTTCTCCCAACCATTCACGGTGGAATGTGATGCTTCTTCCAAGGAATTGGTGTTAACTCCAAGAAATTGGTGATACTTTTCCAACAGGTAAATCTACTTATGAAAGGGAACTTCTTGCTCTTCTGTTAGCACTACAGAAATGGAAACACTACCTATTACGGCATCACTCTTTTGTCCGTACGGATCATCGTAGCCTTAAATACCTCCTTGATTAGCGTCTAACCATAAATGAGCAGTAGCGGTTGCTCTTGAAAATCTTACCATTCGATTTCACCATTGTGTACAAGGCTGGAAAAGAAAATCTAGGTGCAGATACGCTCTCCCAAGCCACAACATGTTGATTTCTTGGCTTTGGTTGTCCCTTTTTCAATGGACTTTGCTCATTGGGATGAGTTGCTTCAAGAGGATCCATACACATAGGATATTCTAGCAGCTATTCATCAAGACCCTTCCACTCAACAAGATTTTCACATACAGAGGCAATAAGTTGCTCTACAAAGAAAGGTTAGTGATAAAAAACAATGTTCCTCTTCGACAAAAACTTATTTCCTAGCACATAAAACCCCGAAAGCAAGGCATGGGGAAAATTTGAAGACTCTTAAAAGGCTCTTCAAAATAAATTATGGCCAAAAATCAAGCAAGGCGTTTACACTTATGTCCAGAATTGCTTGGTTCGCGACCAAGCAAGTATCAGTCCTTGGCATGCGGGTCTTCTGCAACCCCCACCAATCCCAGCACAAATTTGGGAGGACAGCTCATTAGATTTTATCGTGGGCCTTTCCAAATCCAACGGCTTTGGTACTATCTTAATGGTTGTTAATCATCTCCGCAAATACTAGTATTTTGTTCCACTTACTCACCCATATACAGCCAAGACCATTGCTCAGATATTTTGCAGAGAAATCATACGTCTTCATGGAATCCCAAGATCCATCATTTCTGACTATGATGTTATTTTCCTTAGTTCCTTTAGGAAGGAGCTTTTTCGACTTAGGGGGTGTTTGGGATTGCTTATTTGAAACAACTTATGCTTTTTTACAAAAGTCCTTATCAACTTATTATAAGTTAGAATGGTTTAACTTCTTCAAAAACTCCTTATTACCGGTTTGACACCGGTATAAGCTGTTTATCCATACATTCAAAAGTGCTTATTATCGGTATCACACTGAAATAAGTCAATAAGTTATTTTTATAAGCAATTCCAAGCACCCCCTTAGTAAGACTAAACTGAATATGAGCACCACCTATCACCCGCAAACAGATGGCCAAACAGAGGCGGTCAATCGTTGCTTGGAAACCTAATTACGATGCTTCGTTCAAGAACAATCGCGCACTTGGAGCACATACCTACCATGGGTTGAATTTTCCTTCAACACTGGATCCATTCATCTGCACCGGGTTCCATTCATCTGCAGGCACCACTCCGTTCAAGTTGTATATGGTCGTGACCCCCAGTCACTCCGCCTTACGTTTTGGGGAAACTCATATTGTTAGTCTTGAAACACAAATTTTCGAGTGTGATGCCATGTTGATGTTTTTAAAGGACCAACTCTTGAAGGCTCAAACAAGGATGAAACAACATGCAGATGCCCATCGACGTGATGTTACATTTTCAGTTGGTGACTATGTTTTTCTACGCTTACAACCATATCACCAACAATCATTAGCTCATTGTCGTTATTTAAACTCTCCCCTCATTTCTTTGGCTCTTACAAAGTTATTCATTGCATTGGACAGTTGCATACGAGCTTGAACTTCCACCAAATTCCAAAATCCACCTCGTCTTCCATGTTTCACTGCTACGTCCCGCATAAGGGCAATCAATTCCTCAAATTTCAGCTCCACTTCTGTAACATACACACCTTTATATATCAACTTAAATAACCTAAAAATGATGTCTTACATGCTTAGTATTGTTTAAATGGTTGGAATAGTGAAGTAAAGGTTGGAACACCTTAGAATAAGTTAATGTAAGGTGTTAGAGTTAGTAGACGTCAAGAAAACGAAGTGTACTACTCTATGGGCATAGATGTGCAAAGTATAGTGGCTATATAGAAAAGAATTTGCACAAATGTTTTTCTGAGATGAATTTTAGAAATTTGAGAGTTTGAGGTGAAAGTAGACTCAATAAGGAATGCGTAGGCGAAAAGCTCA